AATAGCTTTAGTGAATTAAGAAAGCTCCAAGTGCCTCAACAAAGGTAACAATTCATAACTTAAAAAAACAAAGAAGTATGAATAGGGGTGAAAAGTTAGACTGGTGTTTCTTAACCTTTTTTCAGTCAAGGCACCCTTTAAAATTATGCACAATCTTGAGGTACTCCATTCTAAAATGTAAAAAACTAAACTAATAGTTTTACATAATGCAGCAACATCCACACTCATAAGACACCCAACATTGGAGGTGATTGTATTCTTCCAAAGCAAATACATCTTTGCACACTGGTACTGACTATTATTCCAAGCTTTCTCTTCTCTCTCAGTCAGTTACTGTGACACCAGTCCTGAGAGGGGCAGGGGAGCTGTAAACAAGGATGTAAGATGCAGGGGTAAACAAGGCGCTTGATGGTCTTATCAACCAATGACAGCATTGGTTGTTAGGATGCCTGCAGCAGGAAGCTTATAATGGTGCACAATGAAAACCCGTGGCTTTCTGTAATTAAAAGGCAGGCTTGTCCCACCCACTGGCTTGAATACAATTTTGGGGAAACTTTTAGTCATTTTGCCAAGGCACCCCTGAAGAAACTTGAAGGCACCCCAGGGTACCTTGGCACCCTGGTTTGAAAAAGGCTGGATTAACCTCTGCAGTATCACTTTGGCAGGTCCATAAGGATAATATTAGAGGTCACCTGATCAACATTGCCACCTCCAGAAAACGGTAGGGAGAAGAGAATACGAGAGTTGATGTCTCTCCTGGCTCAGGTGGACGTGGCTTGGAAGGCACAGCCAACTGTATGGCTCCTGAGGCCCTGACCAATGAACTTGATCTCCTTGCCACTGAACATGCTGAAAAATCCTTGCGCTGGGCTAGGCATAAATTCTACACGAGTGCCAACAAACCTGGATCCAAGTTGGCCAGGAAACTCAATTCAGTGGTCCGCACACACAAACCCATCCAACTACATACCTGGGGTAGTGGTCTTACCTCTGTACCGACAAGGATTACAGTAGAGTTTACTATCTTTTTGACTTTGTTTATGGGAAGACGAACTAGTTTGATTCGGAATGTGCTGAGCGTGTCTTTCAGCGTTTACGCCCCACCTCTTTATCCACTGCCCCATAGAAATTTGCCACATATTTTAATTAATTGAGACAGAGTTCTCAGCCCTCCCCCCGAATTCCTAAAAGCTCATGTTACTATGATTTCCTAAAACATCTGATGAGGCCACTACGCCACAGGCATTCAGACCTATCTCTTTGTTGAATGTGGACCTGAAGATTTGGGGGAAAGTCCTGAGCACCTGTGTCAACATATACCTCCAAACCGTCATACACAGGGACTAGGTGGGCTTCGACCAACTCAGACAGGCGGTGGACAGTATCCGCAAGGTTATACACTTGATTCACATTTTACACCAAAGCAAGATACTTGGCTTTCTATTGTCCCTCGACATACACAAAGCATTTGATTTGCTCTCCTGGGATTAACTAGAATTTGCATTAATGCAATGGGAATTTGGCAGCAACATCCTGGTCTGGATTAAAGCCCTATACTCCTTCCCCACGGCTTCTGTTAAGAACACAGAGTTTTTCTCCTCACCTTTTCCTCCTCACAATTTTCTGGGTGCGGGGCGGGCCTGCCTACTTTTGCCAGCACTTTTTTATTCTTGCACTGGAACCCTTAGCCATGACTCTCCGGGACAATCCTGATATATCTGGCCTTCCTTATGCAGGCAACCAATACAAGGCAAATTTGTATGCGGACGATGCCCTCCTGGTCCTCACCAACCCTCTTATCCCTCTCCCCAATTTCCAGGTACTGCTGGACCATTTCTCAGCTATCTTGGGACTTCTTATAAAACATTCCAAAACCACGGCACTGAATATTACCTTTCCTGACGACCTGGTTACACACCTACAGACACAATTCCTCTATCACTGGGTGTCCCATTACATAGGCTACCTGGGAATTCCGCTTACTATATCTTATTTTTGGCTAGCTATTATCCTTTACTGCGCTCCGTGACCTCTCTTCTCTGCTCCTGGTTGTTCCCCTCTCTTTCCTGGAAAGGCCTGATTCATGCAGTCAAAATGGCAATCTTGCCCAAAATCCTCTATTTTTTTTGGACATTGCCTATACTCTTTCCCTTCTTTTTTCTACGTCTTTTACAGAACAGAATCCTTCAGTTAATTTGGGACTGTAAATGCCTCAGAGTCCTCAGATCAACACTATACCCATAGATTTCAAGGTGGGCTGGGAGCCCCTAATATGGCTAAATATTATTTGGCAGCCCAAACCTCTCTATTGTCTGTTACATGCCTGCTGTGGGTGCTCCCGGAACTGCCTAATTACGCCCCAATTTCCTTACAAGCACTGCTTTGTTCTCTAATGCTTCATAGCTTGAAACCTTGGGATTCTGTTCACTACTCTGAAAATTTATCCCCTTTCTTAACTCTTTTGTCGATCACTCATAACCTCCTTTTTCTGCCAGGGCTGGAACAACCTCTTTCTTTCTCATGGTGGACCTCCCATGGCTTTACTAGGGTGCACCACTTTTTATCCATGCGCTCATTTCCATTGTGCGAGACCCTCCAGGAGATGCATGAGATCCGAAGACAGGAAGATTTTCATTATCTACAATTTTGCAATTGGATCCTGTCTCCATCATACTCCCATCTTCCGTTTTTGCAAAACATCTTTTGAGCAAACCTTGTTTGCACTCCCAGGGATCCCCTGGTCTTATCTTGTTGCTTTACTCCTTCCTTAATATTAAGTCTTTTACATTGTCCTACACCAGGCCTCTTCATGCCGCAGCAGAAACTGCTCTCATACCTTTTTATTTCTGTCAAACAAACCATTGCTCAGGCCTGGAAGACCCCGTCTGTTACCATTCAAGGGGTGAAAACCAGGATGACTGCTCTGATGGTTAATGAGTAGATGTCTAGTATTCTGAAGGATTTCCATGGAAATTTTTTTTAAAGTCTGGGAACCGTGAATAAGTTATGCTTTTCCCGTCCCTGCCCCTTACTAGCTACGGTCGACTATAAACATCATTTGTCCCGTGTCTGTGGTACTCTCCTTTCTTCTCTCTCCTCCCTTTTTCTTTTCCTTCATTCTTGATTTCCTTCCTCTCCTCTTCATTTCTAATATGAAGGCTATTAATGAAGACTGATGTCTTCTAGGGCAGCCTTTTTCAACCAGGGTACCCAGGCACCCTGGGGTGGTGCGGGGGGAGGGTCAGTATTGGTTGGGGTGCTTAGAAGGTATGCCTAAAGATTATGTGCCTTCAGACTTCTTCAGAGATGCCTTGGCAAAATGCCTAAAATAAATGCCCAAAAATTGTATACTAGCCAGCATTTGGACCAGTGCTGTCTTTTAGTTACACAAAGCCACAGGTTTACATTGTGCACTTTTATGGCCTTCTAGCTGCGGGCATCCTAGCAACCAATGAAAACATCGCTTAAGGAGGATGGGGGGTGCATGCACATCATCCTTGTTTGCCCTCCCCTGCCCCTCTCATCAGCACTGATGTCACATTAGCAGAGTGAAGGAGAGAAGCAGAGAGACACACTGGAATACTAGTCAGTATCAGTGTGCAAAGGTATATTTGCTTTGGAAGAATAAATCACCTCTAACGTTGGGTGTACTGTGTATGTGGATGTGTGCAGAATCGATTTTTATATTTTAGAATGGGGTACCTTGAGATTGTGCAGAATTTTAAAGGGTACCTTGAGATTATCCATAACTTTAAAGGGGGCCTTGACTGAAAAAAGGTTGAGAAAACTGCTCTAGGGGACAGTTTTTTTACATGCCTGTCTGATGTCGCCCCTGTGTGGGCAAACCATGGCTTGGCAAAATCTTTTGACATTTCAATAAAAATATTTCGACCTTTTGCTGGCTTTCCACCAGGTGTTTCTGTTCCTAATTGTGAAATTCCAGATATTTATGTTATGCAGACCACATAGGAACTTATGTGGAAATTTTCCCAATAGAGTGCAGACAATAATAAAAACTCAAAAGTCCAGCAGGGATTACATTTAAAGAAAGATATCTAGTCAACTGCCAGTGACCTAAAGCTAAAGTACTACTGGATCTTGCAAAAAGACAACAATTAAAGTCTACATCAGGATAACTGAAAAGAGGCAAAATCAGTTTTGAGCTGCCCTTGAGAAAAAGGGCAGATCAGACTCAAACAGAGACAAAGCTAATCTGAACTCACTGATGTGAGTGAATAATGCTTAATTATAGTAAGCATTTGAATTTAATGGTTTGCAGCTAAAGCCTGAGAAAGCTGTTATGAAGAGGGAGAAAATCCTTTTTCATACATACTATATTATCAAAAGTATTGGGATGCCTTCCTTTACACGCATGCACTTTAATGGCATCCCAGTCTTCGTTCAATATTGAGTTGGCCCACCCTTTGCAGCTATAACAGCTTCAACTCTTCTGGGAAGGCTGTCCGCAAGGTTTAGGAGTGTGTCTATGGGAATGTTTGACTATTCTTCCAGAAGCGCATTTGTGAGGTCAGGCACTGATGTCAGACAAGCAGGCCCTGCTTGCGGTCTCTGTGCTAATTCATCTCAAAGATGTTCTGTCGGGTTGAGGTCAGGACCCTGTGCAGGCCAGCCAATTTCCTCCACCCAAAACTCACTCATCCATGTCTTTATGGACCTTGCTTTGAGCGCTGGTGCGCAGTCATGTTGGAACAGGAAGGGGCTATCCCCAAACTGTTCCCACAAAGTTGGGAGCATGAAATTCTCCAAAATGTCTTGATATGCTAACACCTTAAGAGTTCTCTTCACTGGAACTAAGGGGCCAAACCCAACCCCTGAAAAACAACCCCACACCATAATCGCTCCTCCACCAAACTTTACACTTAGTACAATGCAGTCAGCAAGTCCTGTTCTCTTGGCAACCGTTAAAGCCAGACACGTCCACTGGTTTGCCAGACAGAGACGCAGGATTTGTCACTCCAGAGAACATGTCTCCACTGCTCTAGAGTCCAGTGGCGATGTGGTTTACACCACAGAATCCGATGCTTTGCATTGCACCTTGTGATGTAGGGCTTGGATGTAGCTGCTCGGCCATGGAAACCCATTCTATGAAGCTCTCTATGCACTGTTGTGCTAATCTGAAGGCCACACAAAGTTTGGAGGTCTTTAGCTATTGACCCTGCAGACAGTCGGCGACTTCTGAGTACTGTATGCTTCAGCATGCACTGACCCCGCTCTGTAATTTTACGCCTACCACTTCAGAGCTGAGTTGCTGTTGTTCCCAGTTATTTCCACTTTGTTATAATACCGCTAACAGATGACTGTGGAGTATTTAGTAGCAAGGAAATTTCACAGATGGACTTATTGCACAAGTGGCAACCTATCAGGGTACCAAGCATGAATTCACTGAGCGCGACCTATTCTTTCACAAATGTTTATAGAAGCAGTCTGCATACCTATAAGTAAAGGAAATGGTGCTGCGCTACTTCAGGGTGAATGAACAATACACATAAATAAATGAGTGAACAGTGACATAAATAAAAAAAAATAAACAATCCACATACAACCATATAACGAATGTGCAAATACTACCACAAGGGTGAATGCCACAATAGGATAATCCAATGGCAAAAAAGATAAAGATGGTGAATGCAAGAAAAAATCAAGTGTGCAAATGCGATGAAATAAAAAAACCGCTGCAACAGCGATAATAAAGTGACATATAACAAATATCACAATAAATATATATATAAAGAGAGAAACTTGGCCAGAAAAAATAGAATGAAAAGCATCAAGTGTACAGTGCATGAATAAATCGATGACCATATAAAAGTAGCATCAAAATGTGGCAACAAAGATGAATGTGACCAAATATCAAATGTGCAGTGAATGAATGAATCAATAACAATATAAAAGTGGCATAAAAAAATGTGGCAACAAAGATGAAACGTGGCCAAATAGTAAAACAACATAAATGTGAAGTGGATAAATCATCACAAAGGACAACGCAACCAATGACAAAAACAATTAAAAATAAATAATATGTCCCCAATAATGGAAGAAAAAAGTCCAGAACCACAGTCCCAAAAAAACAAAGCCCCAAAATAAAAAAAAAAGTCCAACAAAAACAAACGATGTGTGTATCTTCAAAAAACAGGGCTGAGGAAGTCACGTGACTCGTGACCTAACACGTAGGACGGAAGCGTGGTGACGTCATCCCGGTACGGATGGCAGCTGCCATCTTGGTACTCCCTACCTCATACACCCTATACAGTTTTGAATACAGTGCACACTGCCGCATCATTCATTCATGGACGTCCGTGAATTAATGAACTGCAAGTCCCGACAGCCTTAGTGGCTTTGGGCTTGTAGTTTTCGATGAACTACCACGACACTGTGAAGCACCATGGTAGTTCATTGAAGCTTCCTGTCAGAATATTTTCTTGCTCGTGTATCCCGTATGGCAAGCAGATATTCTGACTGATCGCTGGTGCACTACTTTCTAGGCTCCTGTAGACAAAATTAATAAATGCACATTTTTTTTACCTGCAAAAAAAAGTTAATTTGTTATTTTTATCTAAAAGGTGAACTTATCCTTTAACTGTTGACTATTAATTTAGCTCAGCTGATATTGAATCTATAGGTACAGAAACTTTTTTAATATACCTCACTCAAGTGGTTGCTTTGGACCATGACTGTTCCTGGAAATAGCAACAACATATTATGTACACAGCCAGCTTTATTTTGTCAATGTTATCACATGCCCAAATCAATATTGGGGAATTCAATTTCACAAAATTTCCAGCTTGACTTATCTAATTCAATAAAACTGCACAATGTCCTGTAGATCTGTTCAAAATGAATAAATTGTTCATCAGATCAAATATTTATTGCATATTGCTGTTTGTATACATTACTTGTTGTCTTCTCAAAAAATTTACAACAGGTCTGATACTTTCATCCTGTGCCCTGCATCTTATAACTACCAGGTGCCCAACTTGTGGATAGCGAGATGCATGTGTGGCCTCACAACGCAGCAGCCTGTAGTGGAAATACTGATTTGTAAAGGGGGGTAGCCGTAATTTCTGCTAGCCTCATGTCTACAGTCTCTGCCTGCTGCAGAATGTAGTCAGTCTCCAACCAACCTTGCAGCATATCTACAGTCTGTGATCATCAATTTCTCTGCAATCTTTGACAGTTCTCACTAGCACTGCATATACTGAACAATATAAGGGACCTTTTTTCTAATGTCAGGTGCCACAGTTGGGCCCCTCTATACATTCTTGGACAACCACTGTTTTAACTGATAAAATATTCCTAAGACAACCTGTCACATTACAGCCAGTTTTCTAAGTATAGACTTTTAGATGTTGGAAATCTGGACATATGACCAACAGATCAGCTTGTGTACCTTGCAGAATTAAAAATACAATAGTGATTAGTGAATAGTTTTATAACAACTGGGAAAAATAAATCCAGAGAAATTAAGTTTGCAGAATCATGGAATTTTCCCTCTGCATCTAACAAAACCAAAGGGAAATTTATACAACCAATGCTGGATTTTCATAGATCAGCATCTACTTAATTTTTACTAGTTAGCGCAATATAATTCTTTAAAATATCTGAAGCTGTTAAAACAATTACTGTGCCTTTGTGTTGTTTTTATTCCACTGGCATCCTGAATCATCAGCTTGGATGACATTCAGAACCTAATTATTTCATGCATACATTTCACCTATTGTATATTTCAGCAGAACATGTAAGGCGTTACCTAGGGAACAGATTGTAAGAATGTTACATTTTCCCAATATATACTACAAAACTGTATTTATCCTCTATCAATTTCTCAGTGCAAAAGATGAGAATGTACCATCTGTTAATAGCTGGTCAAAAGGAGTTCTTTGCAAGATAATTTGTATTATAACATAAATGTTTCTCTGCCCCTCACAAAATCATTATGCCATCAAGAGAAAGAAAAGAAATGCATGAAAGTAAAAACCTGGAGCTGGAGCTACAACCACTTTACAGCTTCAAAAAGCATCACAGCAGCATCCAAGAAGCATCAAATACACATAAAAAAAAGCATGTTGAAGAGGTAGGCACTTTATTTTATGTTAACCCCTTCTGGACCAGCGACGTACCCGTACATAGGTAGACTTTTGGTGGTTATACCGGATTGATGCCTGCAGTGGCAGTCGGCTCTCTTGTACAAGCAATTGGAGCAGCTAACTAGTCTCATCACATGATTGCTTGTACAAGCAGCGGGAGGGGACATCCCCCCCCCCCCCCTTCCGTGGCTCTCTCGGGATCTCCATCAGCTGGCCGGACAGCTGACCAAGGCCAGAATCGCCTTTGATCAGTTCTCTTTTAGGGCTCATTCACACCATGGTGCAGAGACGGCAGTTTTTCTGCATACATTCTGCAAGGATACAACAAGATCAATTATTCTCTATGTGCCCTGTTCACACCACAACACTAGTATCACGTGCAGATTTTTTCTGCTCAGGAATGTGAAACGTGTATAAAACTCATTGAAGCGTGCATGAAAACTAATGTAAACCGATGTCTCTGCAAGTGAAATCTGTGTGTCAGTTTCCTTCAGTTTTCATGCACGTATGATGTGAACAAGCCCTTACAGTAAACCAGAAGCAATGAACTGACATCACTTCCGGTTTACTCAGATTCTTTCTGAGACATTTTTAACAATCTGAAAGCATTCAAAAACATGATCTTGGTGTTTTGAATGCTTTCAAGTGCAGAGGAAGGATTTGGGGTAGTATAAACCCCAGATCCCACCATAAAAAAACACCCATCATGTGTCTATTGCTGTCACAGGGGATTTACAGAAAAAAAACTAAAGCGTCAGTGTAAAAAAAAAAAAAATAGTGTGCTCCCTGTGCTCATGCACAAAGGAAAACGCACATGTCTGTTCCACACGCACACAAACAGCATTCATGGGCAGTAATTCTAGCACTCAACCTCCTCTGTAATTCTAAAGTGGTAACCTGTAAAGGCTTTTAAAGCATCACCTATCATTAGTAAAATTTGTCTCCGTTGCACAGGCATGCACAATTTTAAAGTGTGACATTTCTGATATCTATTTACTCAACGTAACATCATCTTTTATATTTTACAAATTAGTTGTGTTATGTATTGTGTTTTTTGCAATAAAATTCAAAAAAGTATATATTTTTTTAAATATTGCGTTTGAAAAAACGCTGTACAAATACCCTGTGACATGTAATAATACAAAAACCACTAATTTATTCTCTATGGCCTCTGCTTTAAAAATATATTTGTAGCAATAAATAAATATTTTAAAATGTAAACAAAGTGCCAGAAAAGGCTTGGGGCTGAAGTCGAAGAGAGCATAAACCAGCCCTTAGTATATATGGTAAAAATTATAGTAACAGATTGACCTAGGACATTATGATGAACTTTTGATTTGCCCACACAGGGTTAATCACCAAGCACCAGCACCGTCACATGAGGAGGACTCCATAGCCCTGTGGCAGATACAATTTGAGTGAATCATTGTAAACCTGAGCAGAGTACATGATTACTTTATTAAACAGCCATGTCTGTAATGCACTGAATTTAAACGCAGTCCTTAATGTGTCACTAAAGGCAAAACTAAAAAGTCTGGTAACGCCACAGGATTTCCTCACTTTGAAGGGATGTCCTTTCACTTCCTTTTGTGGCTGTTCCAGTGGGACACAGATGACAAAAAACTGACAGGGGTCATAACCCTCCCTTACTCTTCAAAAAATGAAAAAAAAGTTTTGCCTTTAGTAACACTTTAAGGGCCATAAACCTTGTAGTTTTAGGATTTCTCAAATTAACAGACAATAATAAAATAAGGTAATTAAAGCCTTTCAGATTTTAGATTTTTTTTTAATTATGTAATTATTAATTAAATTGCTTGGCACTTAAAATATGCAGCTTTCACTGCAATAATCGTGTTTTTACCAGCCACCTGTCCACTTCAATGTCCCCAGGCTGCTACATGCATTCCACATTTCCAGGTTGTGGAATACTTGCTCTCTCGCTGCATGCTGTGGGCTTTCCTGCTGGCCCATACATCACTAGAGGACTTCACTATGAGAGAAACTACAGGGTGCAGGTAACAGTGCTGAGGTGGTCTCAGGCAAGTATATTCACCCTTATTTTAGAAGTATGGTTTTGTACAAGGGGAACCCTGTGGTCACTTAACCTCTTGGCACCGGCTGCACGCAAATGTGCGGCCTCCCGGCGTCTGGGCCTTGATGCCAAGTAGCCGCACATTTGCGTGCAATTAAGAAAAACGTGTGCTGAGAGCGCGCGCCCTGCGCTCTCCCAGCACACATGTCCGGTAATCACGGAAAGGTCTCGATCTCCTCTTGCGATTGGGAACTTTCCCAATCATGTGGCCGCCGTGACGGCGAATCACGGTGGTAACATGTCCCTAAAACCCC